TCGACCGTCCTGTCACCGTCTTCCTGCAGCTGAAGCGGAAGCGGGGGGGTGATGTGAGTGACTCCAAGCAGTTCACCTACTACCCCGTGGTGGAAGGTGAGCACACCCCAGGCAGGTTGGCGTGCACCCCGCCGCTGGGGCTGCCCCTCACCCCACTGCCCCTCTCTCCCTGCAGATAAGGAAGAAGTGGAGAGGAAGCGCAAGAAAGTCCTGCCTCAGTTTCCCCAGCACTTTGGTGGGGGTTCACACATGGGGGGTGCTGGCGGGGGGGCCGCAGGCTTCGGCTCTGGAGGAGGTGAGTGGGGATGCCTCTTCCCCCTCCCTGCTTGGGTGGCTGCGGTCTGGTCCTGGGGGCTCCCTGCTCCCCTCTGGCTTCACCTGCCGTCTCCCTTGCTCTGCAGGCGGGAACCTCAGCTTCCCCTACTCCACCGGGCTGGCCTACAACAGCATCTACTCACCCGGCCCTCACCCCGTGGGGGGCTACCAGGGGGGTGTGCAGATGAAGGGCCCTGAGGCAGCGGGGCCTGGGAGCGACAGGCAGGCGCCTGCGGAAAGCACATACTGCAAGGAGCTTCAGAAGCACGGTAGGTGGGAGCTGGGCTGGAGTGAGGGCTGTGGGACATTGCTCGGGAGAGGTGGCTCAGGTTGGGGACCTTTTGGGGCCAGGTGCTGTTTACCTCCACTCCTGGGGGGGGTGCAGGAGGGTGGATGGAGCTGCTGTTCCTGGCAGTGATGTCCTGCTTTGTCCCCCAGCCCAGCTCTGCCACCTGTGGATGCTGGCACTGGCCCGTCGCAATGCCCATGCCCTGCTCGACTACTCGGTCACCGCTGACCCCCGCATGCTGCTGGCGGTCCAGAGGCACCTGGCCGCATCGCAGGATGAGAATGGAGACACGTGAGCACATGAGGGGTTGGGGGGGAGAGGGTGGGAGCCTTGTTGGCTGTCAGAGCCATTAGGAGGCTCTGGGGGGTGGGAGGTGGCAGGGAGGACCTAGAGAAGCATGGAGCTGAGCCAGGGACCATCCCATTCTCTCTGCAGGCCTTTGCACCTTGCTATTATCCATGAGCAGACAGCTGTGATCAAGCAGCTGATCGAGGTCATTGTTAGCATCCCCAGCCAGCAGATCATCAACATCTCCAACAACCTGCAGCAGGTACATGTTTCCCAGGGCAGCCGGTTCTCTGCTACCTGGGGCTTGCTCCCATTTCCTGACCCCAGAGGTTCTTGTTGCTGCTCCTGCTGAGGGTAGGCTGCAGGGCTGAGCATGGTACAGCCATGCTGGCAAAGACAGTGGTGCAGGACTCTGCTCCTCTTGCGAGTGCTGCAGAGGGGGTGCTGCTGTCCCGCAGACACCACTGCATCTGGCAGTCATCACCAAGCAGCCCCAAGTGGTCCAGCTCCTGCTGCAAGCCCGTGCCGACCCCACCTTGCTGGACCGCTACGGCAATTCCCTGCTGCACCTGGCACTCCAGGCTGGCGATGAAGAGATGCTGAGGACGCTGCTGGCTCACCTGGGCTCAGCTGCCCCTTACCTGCTCCGCTTGCCCAATTTTCATGGTGAGTGGAGCTGGGAGACAATGGGCAGGAACCCAGCCATGTTGTCGTGGGCTCGGCTGGAGACCCGCTGAGTCTCTACCCCCGTTGCAGGCCTCCTGCCTGTGCACTTGGCCGTGAAGGCAAAGAGTTTGGCCTGCTTGGACTTGCTGGTCAGGAAGGGAGCGGACGTGAACGCAATGGAAAGGCAGGGCGGGAGGAACCCTCTGCATCTGGCCGTGGAGATGGAGAACCTGAACATGGCCACCCACCTGGTGAAGAAGGTATGAGGGGACACTGGTGGGTTGGTGGCTGTAGGATGGGGTGCAGCCTCCTACAGGGCCCTGGCAGAAGCAGGGGGTTCCCCTATGGTCTTGGGGTGACAGGGGCAGGGAGGTCAGCACCCAGGCAGCACGTCCTCAGTCTTGTGTCTTTCTCCATAGCTGGGAGCAGATGTTAACAGCCGGACTTTCGCTGGGAACACCCCGCTGCACCTGGCTGCTGGCTTGGGCTCCCCCACCCTCACCAAACTGCTCCTCAAAGCTGGTAAGGCACTGCCCTCCCTCCTCTCCCTTCCCTTCCCCACAGCCTTGGCTGCCCGTGCTGGGGCATGCCTGGGCACAGGGCAGACCTCTGGGCCACTTTCCTCTTCGGGGCTCAGTCCACTCTTCCCTGACAGGGGCAGATGTGCTGTGTGAGAATGACGAGCCCATGAGCCCGTCTTCATCAGAGGCCAGCAGTGACACAGACGCCGACCCTGAGGAGCAGGAGCTGGCCATGGAGCTGGGGGAGCCGGCCCCAGCCATGGAGCACAGCACCAACTCTGAGCCTGCTGCGCAGGGACACGGGCAGACAGGGCACAGGCAGCGCCACTGCCACACACCCCTGGACCTGACCCGCAGCCAGAAGGTGCATGCTGTGGTAGGACAAACCCCCTGAGAGTGTTTCTGTGGGGACTGCAGCATGAATGGGGCAGAGCTCCAGGAGATGCTCCTGAGAGGATGCCTGTGCCCTTCCCTGCCCTGGGGAATGCTGTGGCAGCGGAAGGCAAGGAGGAGTTGGCTGGTGCTTTGGGGGATGCTGACATCTGTGTATGTCTGCAGGTGCGGGAGATCCTGCTGCAGGCCTACCAGCAGGGCACCGAGGCAGAGTTGCCCACTGCCCCCCGGCCAGGTGAGAAGCCCCTCTTCCCCTGAAAGCACTGCACCCGGGCGGGGGAGCACCCTCATGCAGCGAGGATGGGTGGTGTGTGATGGGGGCACCTCTTCCGCACAGGGAAGGTCTTGTCGCTGGACAGTGAGGCGCTGCAGGGGCTGGAGCGGCTGCTGAACCAGGACTGCAGTGGGTCGGACTGGATCGAGCTGGCCAAGCGCCTGGGGCTCTGCAGCCTGGTGGAGACCTACAAGGACACCCCCTCACCCAGTGTCAGCCTCCTGCGCAGTTATGAGGTCAGTACCTGGCCAGGGTGCCCCCATCCCCACTGCCTGTCCCGCCACCAGCCCCACTCAGTGCCCTCTCTCCACAGCTGGCAGGGGGCAGCCTGGGGGGGCTGCTGGAGGCACTAGATTCCATGGGGCTCCACAAGGCTGTGAGAATGCTTCACAAAACCGAGGCGCTGGATAAGCTGCAAAGCACAGGTATGGGGAGTGAGGGGCTGGGGTGTGGGAGGGGTGTCCCTGCTGGCCCCCCCATTGCTGACCACCCAGGGCTTGCTTTGCAGAGCTGAAGGAAGACAGCGCCTATGGCAGTGAGTCGGTGGAGGAGGAGCAGGCGCCCACGCTGGCCCTGAAGCCAGGGCCAGGGAGTGAGCTACCCCACAGCCAGCAACAGCAGGTGCACTGAGGGGCCAGCAGCACCCCCACCCTGCCCTACCCTGCCCACGCAAGTGCCTTCTGGACTTGGGGTCTTACTGCCTGGACTCAGGGGGATAGGATGCAGCCAGCTCCTGCCCTTCTCTGCTCTTATTTAATGGTCCCTTTTCTGAATAAAGGGATAGTTTCCATTAGCCTTTGCCCTCCCTCTCTCCAGCCCCAGCCCTGAATGGGAAGGCACTAACTCCCCCGAACCCTGTATGGGGCTGGGAGTCTGGCAGCAAGGAGACAGCCATCAGCCCCCTCCTCAGCATCCCTCTATGCCAGGGCTGTCCCCAACTGTGGGGGAGAAACCACAACGCACACAAGAAGTGAAGAGCAAGTTTTACTTCAGTAACTGAGAGAAGCTGTACAAAGGTTTTTCTCCACCACCCACCCCCCC